TGCTTTGCAAGACCATCTTGGGGCTTGTGGGCCTGATCCTTCATGTTCTTTTTTTGAACTGCTAAGGGGATAGTTCTTGAATTGACCTACTTTCAAGTTACTTCTCATTTTCCTTTTCTTTTCCCATGTGTATATATATTGTATCTAAAGTGATCTTAGGTGTCTCCTCCAAGACTGTTGAGAGGAACAGGCTCCTGTCTGTCTGCTACTGGTGAAACCTCAGTGCTGAGTGGGCTTTCTTAGGTTTTCTTTCCCATGATCAATACATAGGCTGCTGAATAATCTGGGTATTAAGGGGGTTTGAAAGAACTTGGAAGTTAAGGCAGTGCATTAAAATAGATACTGAGACAGATCAAAGTGGCATTCAGTTGCACCCAATGATGTTTTTCACTTTGCCCTGATTTCTGCCTCCCACATCACCTCCTTTCTCCATAAATGACAAGATTTCCTTTGTTAAAATCCTTTGAAGTTAAAATACTGCACGTTGTTGTTTCTGCTGCTTTTATTTTGGGCACTAATACTTCTTTTTCAATAAAAGGGTCTAGTGCTGGAAAAAGGTACTCTCCTCAGTTTGTGAAAGCTGCCAAGCTTCTCCATTGGAACGGACATTTCAAACCGTGGGGAAGAACAGCCTCGTACGCTGAAGTCTGGGAGAAGTGGTATGTCCCTGACCCTACAGGCAAGTTCAACCTGATCCGCAGACACTCGGAAGCCTATGAAGCAAAGTAGAGTCAATTCTAATAACTGATGGCATTTTCTCAGGAAACTTATGGAGCCAAGCAGAATTTTTTTTTAAACCAACTTGCATTACAGAGCAGTCCTTGCCTTCTGGAGCACCAGGTGATGCATTTACTCAGGTGCAGCTCTGAAATGCGCAGGTCCCAAGGAGACTCACTTCACTTGTGTGACAGAAGGTGCTACTCCAGCAGCACTATAGAAAGCAAGGAGGATCTCCACAAACAAGCACTTTTATTAGTTCATTACTGTCTGTTGAAGCCTTCTGCTCTTAACTACAAGTCTTCTAGAGGAGGATCATATTGTCTGCTACAGAAAGAAACAGTTTCTAAGAACAAGATACAACTTCAACTTGTGCTTCACCATGCAAATCTTGCACAGCAACGTACTGTAATTAAGAGCTGCTTGGGTTTTGGTCTGTGTGTTTTGGGGTTTTTTTTGTTTTCTTATCCTGTGAAATAGTTTCATCAACAACCCTTTCTTGCATGAAATCTCCTCCCAACCATTTCTGTGTAAGTCTTTCTTGCAGAATTCTGCAAAAACAAATCTTGGTTTTTTTGAAAGATGAAATTTTCAAGTATTATTTCACTATGCAAAGTGATTTTAACTGCCAGTGAACACTAAAGCAATTTTTGTAAAGCAGTGGAGAAAACTGTTCAAAAATAAAAGCTAATTTTAACATGTTGACTCAAACCTCGGGTAAACGGCCATCTGATTCTAGTCTTGATCTAACACGTGAAATGTGTTTCCTTTTGTAGTTAAATACAGTAGAAAGTGATTGAAACTAAAGTCAATTGATCTCATCTTTGCGAAAGCAATCTCATTATAACATTGTGCAAAATGTGTATTTTGGGGAATCAGGCTGTATGAATTACAGATTAATTTTATTATTGTCAAGTTCCTCACAGTTCTCTCAAGTGAGCACGGCTTTGCCATAGAAGTTTTTCCTACCATGCCTTTCCCAGTCTGGCCCTTTAAACTCATCAAGCAAGATGCCTGTGCCCTTTTGCTGCTGGCTGCCCATTGCCTTTTCTAGAGGTAAGTTTTTTTTTTTATTTTATTTTATTTTTTTTATAGTTGCAGTATTATTTTTGAGCAGTGGTTATTATTAGCTGATGTATCTCAGCAGCCATTGTGCCAGCTGTTCCATTTAATACAGATTTGAACTCAAGTTGCTGTTTTTATTCAATATTGATTCTGAACAGTCCTTAGTATCAGGTATTTAGACAGATGGCTTTGTGTCAGTACAGCGCCGGGCTCAGTGTTGCGTGGTCTGAGGTAGCAGGCAGCAGAGAGCGGAACGGCTCGTTCACGTGTAGGAATATGGTTTTCGTACTGCTTTGGAATTTAAGAGGCTTTCTAATTGCTTGACTCATTGCAGTCCCTGCCTATAGTTCTGTTTCTGTCCTGGATGGTGATCTGTGGTTTGTTACCTACTGTTTCTTTTCCTGGGTTTTGAGAAACAAGAACCATTCTTGTTCTGGAAGTGGTTAAAGTAATGAAGTAAGTTCTGTTACCAAACTTTGAAAGATTGTACTCCATCAGCTGACACCAACTTAATGCTGATGACCAGGCTGTTTTAGCAGGCTTAAATAAACTGCATGTGTCTGTGTCTGCACGTGATGCTTTTTTAAGCTGCCTAGGAAGACTGTGCCTCAACATATGTTTAGGGAAAATACAACTATCTATAAAGAACACAGAAATCAGACCTTTTAAGAAGAAGAAAACAGGCACATAGAGGAGATGCCTGGTGTCAGGCGTTTATTCAAAATGCTTAATTCATTGAGCAGCTGCAGGGCCTCTTGGTAATTCTCTTGCTACCCCAGCTCTGCTATAGGCTGAGTGCAGTAACATGTCCTTATTGCACAGGGCAGCATTTTGCTCTACACTTACTGGTTGTTGTCACATACAATAGGTCTCATCAGGAAATATGTCTTTTGGTCAAGAATACTGTAAGAATAAGAAGTTTGTTTCCCAGTGAAGACAGATTACTAATATAATTTTAGTTACCTTTCCCAGTGAAACTTCTGAACATACAAAGCAGTGCTTAGCTAGACATAAGATATCCTATCTAAGTAGCGTTTTCTACTGAACTTTTATATATGGAAGTTCTACAAGTTTTACTGACTTTAGTCAGGAAAATTTACTGACTTTAGTCACGCTCTAGGTGTATGGTCTTTGTAATCCTCTAGGAAAAACAATTAAATTTTATGGAAGATGAAAACTTACCTTGACATTTAATTGCTGGAACATGACTAGAATTAAACATTTACCATTGTTTTTCAAAGAAAAAGACAAAGGGTTTATCCTTTTGAAACATCTTTTTATAAGACAAAATGAACTCAGTCTATTAGGAGTTTTTTTAAATAGGCTTTTTTTCATATAGGAAATAAAGTTTAGGACTTAAAGCTGAATACAGTCAGTTTCCTAGACTTGTATAAAATCTGCAACAATCAAGGGAGATACAGTATTATATACATTATTTGACACAGTAGTAATTGTAAGCCTTTGCAGCAGCTCTGGTGTGCAGCTGCACATTCCTCCAACTTCTGCCACAGCACAAGTCTTCATGACTGTTCCAAAAGCCAGCAATAAGAGTACCCGAGCCGTGTCTTCACACCTAATTCATTACACATAGTCTGTATTAAAATCGTAGGCATCATCTTCATCTGCTGTCTTATCCAAGCTGAATGATAGTGAATTAGAATGTTCTGAGAAAAGAAAATCGTGTGTTAGTGAAGCCAATGCAAGTGCTAGGGAACTAGAGACTATCCTTCAAGCCAGGGTTTTAATACAGACCTGCTATCTGCTTTTCTGAATTTGTAGGACTTGTTTGTCGTTTTCCAAGCTTTGCTTTCCTGATGACTTGAATTTTGCTTTCCTACAAGTCAGAGAGGTCAGACGTGTGTTTATTCAGACATCACTAATGAAGTCTCCTACACAAATGGCAACCTGTCAGAGACTGATGATAGTGTGGATGTCCCCTTGTATAGCTGGTCAGGAACACACTGCCTTAGAACAATGTCATCATAGAATCACAGCATGGTTTGGGTTGGAAGGGACCTCAAAGATCATCTAGTTCCAACCCCCCTGCCATGGGCAGGGACACCCTCCACTACACCAGGTTTCCTTTATTAAGGAAACCACACCATGTTGTTTCCTTAATTAAGCAAAAAGCTCAACCCTTATCTCCAGGAGACTTTTTTGATTACTCCTGGTGGCTTCACTGTGCCCTCTAAGCTCACAGCAAGATACTGACTGGGTACTTGGTGTCAGGATGTGAACAGACAGAAGCAGCCTACAGAAACTGATTTACCTCTTGGACATCCATTTCTTCTTCTTCTTCTACATCATCTTGATCATCATCAGTTTCTGCGAAATCCTCGTCATCGTCTTCCTCTCCCTCTTTGCTTTTTTCCAGGTCTTCCCACTCTGATGCTTCCTCTATGAGTGTATTTTCCCCTATTGTCCCATTTGTCATACCAGCTGACTGGAAAATGATGCTGTTTGCTGGACTGGGGAATTTTAAAGCTGAGAAAAAACACAGGAAGTGTATGTTAAGTCACTGTCAGACAGTACCAGATGTAATGCCTACCCCGAGAGCCATTTTAGGTCAGGGCTAGAAAAAGGCAGTCCTGCCCCTTCCCTTCGAAGAGATGGCACTCCCACATAAGCAGGTAGAATAAAGGACAATTCTCTAAGAATAGTTTTCGCTAAGGCATCTACAGAAGACTGCTAGGAGCTGAAAGACTTGGATTTGAGTATAAATTGTACTGAGTAAAATGTATTTTGTTGGCCTAATTAGCCAATGTTTGTGCTCTTCAACATTCTTTTCCCCTATTTTCTATTTAGGAGCGTTATGTCAGATGAGCAGAAACTAAGAACTAGCAGGGGTACTGTTCTGTTGCATCAGAATCCACTTCTTTCTTAAAAGGTTCATATTCACTGCATATCGGCAAAGCTATCACGTAAACCCCAAGAGGACTTTGTTCAAAATCTCTCATTAAAACTACTACTACCACTCTTAATGGTAGCAGTGCATTACAGCAACAGCCCTACCTTGAACAGTGGCGTTGTTTTCATCTTCTACGTTCTTTAAATTAAAGCACTCCTGCATTTCAGCTATTTTGTCTTCTGTAAGATACGGTGGCTGTCTCTGAGATTCCGGAGGTTGTGAGTGGTAGCTTATTTTAGCACTGGGAAAATGAAATATCGGTATTAAAAAACAACCACAGATAACACAGTGAAATCACTGTGTTTAAAAGTAAAACCCAGAGCACAAACCTCTCAAACTCCTCAACCTAACTGCTCATTGATTGTCATCTGTTTTAACAGCAGTTAAATGGCTATTTAACTTTGACTCTGAAGTTGTCAATAGCAGTACTCAGTGGATAGCCCACTGCTGAGAGGAAAAAGAAATGGCACCCTTTGTCACCACAAAGCATCTGCCTGTGAAATCATGAGCTGTAAAAGCAGCTGAACCACTTGAGCAAGCAAAATAGCCACACTCAATTACTGATTTTGAGTTACATTTATTCCCACTCTCAGAATACAGGGAATAACTTTCCACAGAAAATTTGCCATATCCTTTCTTGTCTGTAGGAGAGGACGACGTGGATTCAGTACTTGAGAGGGAGGCAAATCCCTCTTATAGCAGAAGTTATGGCAGAAGTCAGCAAATTGGCTAAGGAGTAATGCGCAACATGCTTTGACTCTTTCCACGTATTCTTCACTACTTTATAAAATTATCCATGGATGGTGTTCTCTAAATCTGTTAGTCAATCCATCTCTCTTTACCAAAGCAAAATGTGAGAAAGTGGGGAAAAAAGAAGAGGAGCCTCTCCTTTCTAAGTACTTCTAAGGACTCAACTTCTGTGCTGGATTAACAATGTGAAAAAGGTGAGCAGCATAAAGCAAAATTCATAGCATACGTACCCTGTCCAGTCACAAAGTAGTACTTTAGCTATATTCTCTATGTCAGGAACACCTCCCTTTTTCAGCATGCCCCTTTTCTGAGCAAGTAAAGTTAAAAACTCTTCAGTGTTCCTGAAATCCGGGATGCTATAGTGCATCATTACCTAGTGCAAAAGAAAATGGTGCTTTCAGAAAGAGATACCCATTTTTGTTTTAGGAATAAAAGAGCAAATCAAATTGGGTTATAATGAGGATGAACACGTATGTGAAGAGCCATTTTTCTCTTGCATGTGGGAGTAAACATTACAAAGCAAAATGCCTACTTCATAAACAAACTCATCTGCCATTCACTGATACTAGTGGGTGTATAGACACCACACTGTTTTGTGAAAAAGAGTTATCAGAACTGAACGGGAATTAGTCTTAGGTTAATCTACTTGAAACTAGAGTGAAATCAGAGTTGGATCTGAGGTCTTCACTGTAATAATAGGAAGCAGTCAGAGTATCTTCATTTTTCACTCTGTGATACTGTGATGAGATCTTAAAAGCAGGGGTTTTTAAAGATCAGAGAAATTACTGGGAAAAGAGAACTCTGGCTGACAGGATCCTGGCATGCTCTTTCTGCCTTCCATTTATAAGGATGAAAGATCACGCTTTGTGTTGGATACACTAGCCAAAGTTTGCCACTCTGTATAGTTAGGGGAAAGCAGTGCAAAAGCTACCAGAACTAGCTCAAGTCAACGAGCTTTGGTTATTGGCCTAAGAAACCTCCAGAGAAGTAAAATGCAGTGAGAGATGTGCAAAAAGATGCAGCTCACCTGCTGTTTACTGCAGTGATTTAGAATGGCATCTACTCCTTCAAGCACGTCTGCTGATCCTGATTCTTCAGTGTCTATGATACTTCTCAAGGCCAGAGCCAGGGCGTTGTTAGAAGGATCTGCAATGATACTTGGACTGTCTAACATCTTTGTCTGTTTATCAATGTGCACAATCTGCATGGACCTATTGAGAGAGAAATGCACTGTGAGCAGATAAATCAACTAGCAAAGGACTGGTCATGGGAGGAATGCACAACACAAAGCTCTGCGTTGGACTGAATGCACTCCACACAGAGTCAGTGTCAGTGCTTTCGCATCATTTGCTTTGTACAGGACAGAAATCTAAATGTACAAAAAGAGCACATTTATACACTGTACTCCCTCATGACAGCTTGCATCACACAGGTCAGTATCTTTCATCCTGACAAATTGAAATGTGCATTTAAAACTGCACACAGGGACATTCTTTGCCCCTAAGTGATGGAAAGTGTACAGAAACAACAAACTGGAATGAGTTTGCAACAGAATGCAACAACAAACAGGGAAATTAACAGCTTTCATCAGACTCAGCTTACTTGGTAACACCTCTTGTTAGGCCAACGTTGCAAGCACGAACTCCTTTAAGACTGTTGATTATGCTGCTCTTTCCTACGTTAGGGAAACCTAAAGAAAACCACGGAAATTTTTGTAAGTTAAATAAGAAAATTCAGCCTATGTTAACACTGATCAAAACTGCTTCCTCCAGGTATCTTTGGTAAAGTACATCTTCAGTGTGAGATCAGAGTTGGATCTGAAGTCTTCACTACAGAAGTAAGACAAAGTCTGTATCCTCATTTCTCACACTGACAATGAAAACACTGAATGTAACACCACAAATTGTATCAGATAGGAGGAAGGCAGTGCAAGCTGCATGGTATGTAGCCTGCTGCTTTTGTTTGCCTAAGATGGCGAATCTGCTACAGCCTCACGCAATGTGCTTTCCACAGATCACACAGTGTTTAAGTGCAACATAGATCACTGTCAACTGAAGTACTACAACAGTGAGTCACAGATAAAAGTAACAGCAATGACTAGAAAAGGCTAAAAGCAAGTCATGTGTTAATTTTTTTACCCAATTTGTAACACAGGATACCAAAGCTTTATGGGAGGAGAAGGAAATGCTTCCTGTCTCTTCAAACGCTTACCTACTATCCCAACCTGAATGGCTTTGTTTTGAGTCTTGCCATGCTCATGAAGAAGTTTCAAAAGGCACTTGCTTCCAAAACATTCAGTGGTTCTCGATAAATCAACGCGAGCGTGTCTTTTTCTGAACTGTTCCTGCTACAGGATTCAAAGGAAAAAAAGCCCAATCACGGTCAGAAGCTATTTTGGAAGGTAAGTATGTATTTATTTATCTACTGTAATGTTTCCAGCTCCTATCTTCTATTAGATGATGTTACTGTGTTCTTCTAAACAGAAGGAATTAGTTTAATAAGAAACTGGCTGATCAGTTAAGTGACAGTAACAAGGCTGCCATCAAGAGAAAAAGGAATGTGAACTGACGTACAGGGCTTGTGATTTCAGCTCAGGCTGTGCTGCGACCATAAAATAACCATGTACGTTCAGATGGTAGAATCCTTAAATCTGCTGATTCATCCAAGAGGTTTCCACTTTTTGAAGGATTTCAAAGCCTGCTCTCTGCGTTGCAGTTTCTGCACCATTTTGCAGGAGGGCCTATTTCACTGTGCTGCTATCAGGGTTACGATGTGTGAAGCATTATGTACTAATACACGTACGACTCAAACGAGCATCTTCAAAGAGCTGAGACTAGGACATGGGGAGCTAACCCATTTATATTCTCATGAAATAATGTCAGGTGCTATCTTTATTGATGGCCACAGTCGGGATGAATGCAGCAGTTTAGCCTGTACCACTTCAACTACAAAACATTTAAGATGTAACCGGTGCATATATCCCATGTAGAAGAGGAAAAATTCCTCATTTTCCTCCCCTCACTGTCCTCCTTACTGCAGTCCAGCATCCAGGGCACAAATAACTACATATTTCAACAGCAAGAATTCCCCCACAGTACCACAAAGCTTAGTCAAAAGTGAAAAGGCATAACCATCAGTCACAGCAGTATAACCAGACAAGAGGAAAGGGAATTTTAAACAAAAAAGAGTTCCTGTTTTTCAGCATGTTCCAACATATATCACTGCAAACATACAACTTAGTCATGAGACAGCCTGCAGCACTCTTACCATAGTCTTGTCCTTCATCAATGTTGCCGATTTAAAAGCAACCGTTGGAAACTCCTTCTTTAAATAATTCAACCATTTCTCTAAGTTCTCCTTTGGCACTAAATCTGGAAAAAAAGAGCACAGTCCTTTCACTTCTGTGAATCTTAAATATTACTGTGCAGAGAAATCTAATGTGGAATAAGCAACCAGGCTGTATTTTGTTAATTTAGTATGTGTCTTTACAACAAATAATGTTTGGCTGTAGTAGAGTCCTGGGTGTGTTCCCCAAAGGCACTCAGCATTGCAAGTTTTAGTCTTTATTTTCTGCGTCAAGCAGAACACACCATAAGTACATTTTTGACTCCTGTATCAGATTGTTAATGCTGGGGTCCTGCTAGGAGACTTTATATGGTACACATACTCTAATACAAAGCACTCTTTGCTCTTGCTGACAGTGATGCTCTGTGGAGGATTATGGGATCAGGATTATGCCATCATCCCTGTAAAGGCTACTCTAATACAAAGCACTCTTTGCTCTTGCTGTCGCTCTTGGTATTTCCTTTTATTTTTTTGCTGCTGTTGACCCAGTAATTTTCAGCCTTTTCAGCTGGTTTCACCTGCTTTTGTGTGTGTTCTTTCATACAGCAACGCAAGAGAGAAAATACCTCCCAAGGCCAAATTTCAAGAACAACCATCGCATTGATTTGCTGATCTTTAACTCACTGCTGGCTCAGTGGAGACCAGCATCATGACCTCTGCCTACTCACCTACAGCCACAAAAATGTTAAAAATTGTAAGATCTTTAACTTCTGTCAAATTTGGCTGAAACTGGCCAATGCCCTCAGAAGTTACTGCAAAAGAAAGGGGCTAATGTGCATTTACCTGTCTGTGGTGTTTTCTTAGCAAACTAGACTAAAAGGTGGTGAAACATGGCCCCTTCAGTAGGGCAGCGAGCTCAGAGTTGGATCTTATGTCTTCAATGGAATCTCCGATTCCTTTAAAATCTTCTTCATAGCTCACAGCACCAAACAGTGACCAAGTAATACTACAAGAAAACCTGTGCTTCTTACCAATTTTGTTCAGAACCAACAGTAGCTTTTTGTTTCCTCCAGAGCAAGTTACAGCTTGCTCCAGTTGAGGACACCGGCAGCCCATTGGATCTCTTGCATCTAAAACCTCTAGAACCACATCTGAGGCGTCAATCACCTAGGTTAGAAAAAAAAGAGAAGACTCAGCTAAGACATGACAGACCATTTGACAGATGGCAACTCTGGAATAGCTTACAACAGTTACTGTTGAATTTCACAGAATGATTGGTGAGGTTTCATGAGACTGTTCTTGTTTGAGCTCCTTTCTTCTGAACTACAAACCAGAAAGCTGAAGCAATTTTCATCTTTTTTCTCTAAAGACAAGAAATCCTTAGACACTAGTACCTCATTACTACAAGAGCTCTCTGATCACTATGTACTGATATCAGCCCAGGAAATCTAATACCTCAAAGAGTTGGATGTCTCAGTAGGTCAGACCAGACAAGACCAAAACTCTCAGTTTCTGTCATAAAATCCCTTACTTCAGCATTGAAGTTTATCACAAGCGATGTTTATACTCTCTAGCAGGTGCACGGTAATGCAAAAAAGGAAAATAACTCGTGTTCTTGCTGCTGACTCTCATCAAATGATATAAAAATAGTTAAAGCATCTCACCTTCCTGAGCTCCCTGCAGAATGATTTCTTTGAGTTTTTATCGGGCAGTTTGTTAGTCTTTGCTTTAGATTTGCCAGAGGATTCCTGAATGCAAATGAAAATTAAAGGGAATGATTTAACTGAGAATTAGTGTATTATACTAGTGTGCATATACAGCATGGAAATGTAACACGGAACATATTGCTTAAGAAGGCATAGTGTCAGGATGACTTTTGTTGCTTCTGTAAGCTTCAAGGAATCAAAATCATATCAGATACATACCTTTTCCCCTGCTTTTTCCTTGATTTTGGCTGCATTCTTTTTAGCTTCAAGCTTCCTTTTCTTTTCATGTTCTTTCTGTCTGTTGAGCTTCTGCTTTTGTTTTAGTTCTTCAAGCTGATTGCAAACAAAAACCCATGCCAGATAAAACACACGTGAAGGTGGTAAGGAAGTCTGTTCTTTCTCCCCATTTAGTTATGTCTGACCAAAGTTCCTGAGACAGTGTAGTTAGAAGTCATGGCTGTCCCAAGTGACACCAGGAACTTTTTTTGCATCCTACCATGAAAAGAATACTGTTGCCTTCAATTGCTCAAAACCAGAGGCAATGCATCCATTAGAGAGTCCCCAAAATAACACTACAGCTGACAAGAGTGCTGCTTTCATGTCACATTACTCCGTGCTGCAGACAGCGGATCCTTATTTTCCATATGATCACATAATGCCAAGATTTAAGTTTTAGCATTCTGATGGGAGATCTCAGTATCTGAGCATCACAGGCAATTTGGATTACATTAGAAAGGATGCTTCCAGCATGTTTATATGCACAGTGATGAAATGAAGGTTAAAAAGAATAGAGCAAGTTGTTACACACTGTGTAATGCGAGAAATAAAAACATTATTTATCCAAAGCTCATGTCTACTAGGACCGTTTACAATCTACCATGCTTGCAGCTCTGGGCATTTGCATGTGCGCACACAGGCACACAGAGCTTCCCTGAAGACAGGAATGGTCTCAGTTCTTGTCTAATTTACCACAAACTGTATTTTACCCTCTGCTTTCTTTGCTCCGCTTCCCGTAGAAGCTCTTCCCTAAACGGTGCAGCACTGGGAACACCGGGATCTTTCTTGGGCTTTTTGCGTCCACGTTTTTTGGCCTCCTTCCTGACTTTTCGGTGGTGTTCTCTGATCTGAAGACAGGAACAAGAATATTTTCTCAGTCTAAGGCAAAAAAAAAAAGGGTTGTATCCCTCCTATTTACAGATAGAGAGTAAAAAATGGTACATTTCTGACTTTAGATCAAAGTGTTTCGATAGCATAAGGTCTCATCGTAAAGCTACACTTCAACGCTGCAGCCCAAAATAATGCAAAACGTATTGATGTAAAAAACCTACGCTTCTTCTTACATCATCGTTCGGCTGATGGTAACCGGAAAGCAAAGCGCTCCGTACAACCCAGATTCCTTACCGTTCAACAGAACATCCTTATTATGTACAAGTACAACGTGTTTCTGTAGTTTTCTAAAGTTTTTAGTGTTACACAGTCAGCACGGAGCGTCAGTTAGAAACGGTCACCCCTCGCCCCCACCCTCCCCGCGCTCCGTGCGGCCTCCGCCCCGGGCCGGGCGCCCACCGGGACTCACCTTCTTCTGGATCTTGTAGCGCTTGTGGCAGGTCAGCCTCTTGCTGGCCTTCTTCAGCTCT